ACGCCTTGGCGGGAGCGGAGGCAGGGGCAGGGGCACGGGCACGACTCGGTCCAGCGCCGGTTCCGTCACCGGACTTCTTCCGGAAGGTGCTGTCTTGGATGATCCAAATCTTTGTCATCTTCGTATCCGGGCCGGCGATGGAGATGTCGGCGGAGATGATGAGGTCCATGACGAGGAAGGCGTATGGCAAGCTCCGCTCTGTGGCGATGGAGGCGCAATCCGCCATGTGAATCATGACGTATTTTGCCCAATTGATCGAGGTGCCGTGGGTGATAGCACGAACCGCCTTGAGATCCTCGTTGAAGAGACATGTGTGGCTACCGTCCCGAGGGCGAAGGATCCGGGTGAGGATGTAGAGAAGAAGACGCTTCTCCGGCGGGGCTGAGTGGATTGTTGGTGCGCCGCTGTGACGGATGAGGTTGGTGATCCCAAGCTCTCGGATGACCACCGCCTCATTGTTGAGGATCCAATCATCGCCGCCGAATGTTGTTATGTCGTCACCGCGGGTGGGCAACCCTGCGACCCGAGCGAAGGTAGCCAGATCAATCTCTATGTCGTAGAGATTGATGCTACTGCGAATGGTGTCCCCGTCCCGGCGGAGATTGGAGTAGAAGGCTCGCACAAAGGCAGGATTGAAGCTCGAGCGGATCCTGGAGACGAACGACCACAGACCCGATGCTTGAAGCTGGTTGTCGAGGTCGTGGTACCCCTTTTGTTGAGGGTACAACTCGGGCAGCACCCTAGGCGGAGAAATGGGACGCTTGGCAAAGTGCGTGAGGAACCGGTTGAGTTCCTCCTCTGACCCGAACTCCAAGAAGGATCCGTCCAGGTATGGAAAGGGTTGAGGCGCAGAGCTCGTAGCCTCGGCGGTGGCCTTCTTCTTCGAAGCTTTTGTCTTCTTTCCTCCGGCCATGATTGAAGCAAGAATTTGAAGAATTGTGAAGAATAAAAGATGAACTATGAAATATGGAGGAGAATTGTGAGGATGAATGACCAAATATGGTGAATATATATAGGGAAGGAGTGGAAAAAACTGAGAAGAATTCAAAAAATATGACTGTTGGGCATTTAATCCATTGCCCAACGCTTTTTTTTTTGAATTTTGGCAGGCTCCCATCGATGGTATGAACTAACCATCGATGGGATGATCACCACTGGAAAGCACGGAAGAAATTAAGGCTGCTTTCCCATCGATGGTCAAACTCACCCATCGATGGGAGGGTGGCTGCTGGAAATCCGTTAAAACGTTTTTTAAAAAAAAGTGTCAAACACCCATCGATGGGAGAAAGTTACCATCGATGGGATGGAAGGTACAGAAATTTTTTTTTTTTGATAAAAGTCCTTCACCCAGCGATGGGACAAAGTACCCATCGATGGGTTAGGGTGTTCTGGAAATCCGTTAAGTATTTTTAAAAAATTAGAGTCAATTACCCATCGATGGGAAGAAGCACCCATCGATGGGAAGAGGGGTTCTGGAAAAAAAGAAACTTCCCTCCCAGCGATGGTGTGTCCTACCCATCGCTGGTTCCCCCTGATTTCCAGAGTTCTTCACTTCGAACCGTCCCTGCAAAAAAGAGTTAGAAAACCCTCCGACGCTCAAGTTAGTAAACGTTCCAGTAACAATAAAAGAATGATAAAATGCACAAATTAGATCATCGTGGAGTCAAGGATTCCGAGTTCGCTACGAATGCGGAAGAACGACTCTT